CGGATTCCCATGGGTGGCCACCAGAAGTGGCTATGTTGCCTTTGTTTATTGATGTGCTGTGGGCTTGGCCTCATGTAAGCCGCACCGAGTCCCTTGGGGAGATGGTGGTGGGGTACAAATAAAGTATTATTATTATTATTATTATTATTATTATGGGATGGCCTCCGTGAGACTCCGTTTTGCCAGCGTGCTACAACGAAGAGAGTACAACTCCCAAATAACAGGGAGGGGGGGATATCTATTCATTTATTCATTTGCAGTATTTATATTCTGCCCTTCTCACCCTGCAGGGGACTCAGGGCGGATCACAATGCACATATACATGGCAAACATTCAATGCCATAGACACACAACCAGGGGCGGCTCAACCCATTACGCAAAGTAAGCATTTGCAGTATAGTTGATTTTGCCCAGGGGCGCTCTTGAGGTGCTCTTGGGGGAAAATAGACCTTGACATATGCAAGTTGTAGTTACTGGGATGTATAGTTCACCTACAATCAAAGAGCATTCTGAACTCCACCAATGATGGAATTGAACCAAATATGGCACACAGAACTGCCACGACGAACAGAAATATATATCAGTGATTGGTTGTGGGGGGGGGGGGAAAATACTGTTTGGATTTACGTTGAAAATTGTGATGACCATTATCTCTAAGGAACTTCCAATGCCATTTACGACAACATATATAGACAGATACAGAGGCATTTAACATTCCAGCTTCGTGAGGTTATGCTCAAATCTGGCCACCGGGGGAGCTGTTACTTCACTGTCACTTGTGACACCGATGGAGTACTTCCTCATTCTTTTGCACACTGCTGGAGATTTTTTTATGGTGTCATAGATTAGTTAAATTAGTCTCCCCGCAAATTTTTATTATTTATTTATTTAAATTTTTTTATATCCCGATCTTCTCACCTCCGTAGAGGGACTCAGACCGGCTTACAGCAAGGATTCAATGCTACTAATACAAGTTAAAACATCATACAACAATACAAGATTAAAATACATATATACCAAATCGCCAAGGTAAAATCATGTTCAACTCAGTCCGCATATGTGGTCACTCACTTTGGTCTGTAACCAGTCTCAGCCATTATTCTGGGAATGCTTCGTTCCATAACCAGGATTTCACTAGCCTCCTGAAGGACAAGAGGGAGGGGGCAGATCTAATCTCTCTCAGGAGAGAGTTCCATAGCCGAGGAGCCACCACAGAGAAGGCCCTGTCTCTCGTTCCCACCAAACACGCTTGCAAAGGTGGTGGGACCGAGAGCAGGGCTCTTGAGGATTATGGGACGGTGGCATCAGAAACTGCCTTCTGTCCTGTGTGGAATATCATCAGTGTTTCTCAACCTGGGGGTCAGGACCTCTGTGGGGGTCGCGAGGGGGTGTCAGAGCGGTCGCCAAAGACCATCAGAAAACATAGTATTTTCTGTTGGTCATGGGGGTTCTGTGTGGGAAGTTTGGTCCAATTCTAATTGGTGAGGTTCAGAATGCTATTTCATTGTGGGTGAACTATAAATCCCAGCAACTACAACTCCCAAATGCTGAGGTCTATTTTCCCCAAACTCCACCAGTGTTCACATTTGGGAATATTGGGTATTTGTGCCAAGTTTAGTCCAGATACATCATTGTTTGAATCCACAGTGCTCTCTGGATGTAGGTGAACTACAACTCCAAAAATTCAAGGTCAATGTCCACCAGACCCTCCCAGTATTTCCTCTTGGTCATGGGAGTTCTGTGTGCCAAGTTTGGTTCAATTCCATTGTTGGTGAACTTCAGAATACTCTTTGATTGTAGGTGAACTATAAATCCCAGCAACTACAACTCCCAAATGACAAAATCAATCCCCCCAACCCCACCAGTATTCAAATTTGGGCGTAGGGTATTTGGGCCAAATTTGGTCCAGTGAATGAAAATCCATCCTGTATATCAGATATTTACATGACGATTCATAACAGTAGCAAAATTACAGTTATGAAGTAGCAAAAATAATTATGGTTGGGGGTCACCACAACATGAGGGAGAATACGTTCGGACAGGTAAACTGGGCCGGAACCATATAGGGATTTATAGGTTAAAACCAGCACTTTGAATTGTGCTCGGAAGCTTATTGGCAACCAGTGGAGCTGGTGCAGCCAGGGAGTTGTGCGCTCCCTGTACCCAGCTCCCATCAGTGGCCTGGCTGACGAGCGCTGGACTAATTGCAGCTTCCGGGCAGTCTTCAGAGGCAACCCCACATAGAGAGTGTTGCAGTAATCTATATGGGATGTAACCAGAGCGTGGACCACCGTGGCCAAGTCAGACTTCCCAAGGTACGGGTGCAGGTGGTGCACACGTTTTAACTGAGCAAAAGCTCTCCCGGCCACCGCTGAGACCCCAGCGATGAGTCCAGGATCACTCCCATAAAGAAGTACCTAAATCCATGTGATGAGGTCCCTATGAGTCGAATTCAAAGAACTCTGATATTACTAATGTGTCACGTTAGTTAGCGAAACATCAGTGGAAATGTCTAAAATGTGTGTTTACTCCTTGACGATGCCACCAGACCCACACTCTAATATTTCATAGATGTAAATTGGAAGGTGTGTGGCCAAGCAAACATCAGAGTGAGGTGAAGATGGCAGAAGTTATTAATGAAGAAGAACTCATAAGTTAAGAGAGGCTGCAGCAGTTTGCTTTTGCCTGAGTCTTTTGGGAAGGACAAGAAACCCACCCCCACCCCCACACACACTTTTTCCACTCTGCTGAATAAATTGAGCACAAACTTCTTTTTCATTTTGATATGAGTTTGCAGCAAAGGAAGTAAGCTGACCTCAAAGGAGATAAGTGAGAGCCAAAAGGCATAGAACTTTGCTTGAGAAGTTTGATGCCTGAAATGTTTTTTAACATCCACGATGAAGCATGAGTTTGACAGTTTGTGCAATGTAGGAGGGTTAAATGAAAAGTAATGCCTCCACCTTCGTAACTCCTCAACAGATGGCAGTACTGGTATGTGGCAGGTACTGGCTTGTTCAGTAGACTCTCCTCTACAGTTCCATTTTGGCGGGAAGCCTTAGCATTGAACGGTTGTGTTGTTGAAGTATGGAACCCTGCGCAGACGGTCGGTCAATGCGATGTAAACAACGTCATTGAATTCTTGACAGCAGAAGGTGTTGCTTCAACATCTTTAAACCTACTCGCCCAATGATGAACAGTACTCACATCAACACAATCACCATAAACAGTTTGCATACTCTGATTAATCTCCTTTAGGGTGACACCTTCTGCTGTCAAGAATTCAATGACTGCACGTTGTTTAAGTTGCATTGACCAACCGTCTGTGCAGGGTTCCATACTTCGCACTTTAACAACACAACCGTTCAATGCTAAGGCTTCCCACCCAAATGGAACTGTAGAGGAGAGTCTACTGAACAAGCCAGTACCTGCCGCATACCAGTACTGCCATCTCTTGAGGAGTTACGAAGTTGGAGGCATTACTTCTCATTCAACCCTCATATTTTGCACTTTGCATTTCTCATCATCCCCAAGAGAAGGCTGCATCCTAGCTACACTGAAGCACCTGCTATGTTTCCATCCTTGTACTCTGCTTCCTTCGATGTGGGATACTACAGTTGTAATGGATGTCTCTAAAGTATTGTCGAAGGCTTTCATGGCCGGAATCACTGAGTTGTTGTAGGTTTTCGGGCTGTATGGCCATGTTTTGCCTGCATCTCCTGATGTTTTGCCTGCATCTGTGGCAAGCATCCTCAGTGTTTTTCGGGTTGTATGGCCATGTTCTAGAAGCATTCTCTCCTGATGTTTCACCTGCATCTGTGGCAAGCATCCTCAGTGTTTTTTGGGCTGTATGACCATGTTGTAGAAGCATTCTCTCCTGACATTTCACCTGCATCTGTGGCAAGCATCCTCAGTGATTTTCGGGCTGTATGGCTATGTTCTAGAAGCATTCTCTCCTGACATTTCACCTGCATCTGTGGCAAGCATCCTCAGTGTTTTTCGGGCTGTATGGCCATGTTCTAGAAGCATTCTCTCCTGACATTTCGCCTGCATCTGTAGCAAGCATCCTCATTGTTTTTTGGGTTGTATGGTCATGTTCTAGAAACATTCTCTCCTGACGTTTTGCCTGCATCTGTGGCAAGCATCCTCAGTGTTTTTCGGGGCGTATGGCCATGTTCTAGAAGCATTCTCTCCTGACCTTTCACCTGAATCTGTGGCAAGCATCCTCAGTGTTTTTCGGGGCTATATGGCCATGTTCTGGAAGCATTCTCTCCTGACATTTCACCTGTATCTGTGGCAAGCATCTTCAGTGTTTTTTGGGTTATGTGCTCATGTTCTAGAAGCATTCTTTCCTGACATTTCGCCTGCATCCGTGGCAAGCATTCTCAGTGTTTTTCGGGTTGTATGGCCATGTTCTAGAAGCATTCTCTCCTGACATTTGACCTGCATCTATGGAAAGCATCCTCAGTGGCAAGCATCTTCTGAGGATGCTTGCCATAGATGCAGGCGAAACGTCAGGAGAGAATACTTCTATAACATGGCCATACAGCCCGAAAAACCTACAACAACCCGATGTCTCTAAAGCTTCTTCCCATGGTCTGGTTAGCCTACCTTACAACTGTCCTAATTTGGCATGGACCATCCCCATTAATCATCTGCCATCTCACTTGATCTCCTGCTATTAAAATGATCCAGTTTCTTTTCTCCTCCTCCTTTCCCCCTTGGTTTATTTCAATTGCTGCAAACCGGAATCAAACTGCAAAAGTCAGTTCAGTAAGGGAAATAGAAGAGGTGGCTAAAGACTTGCTATCCGCAGTATGCTCATTTAGGTTTTTCCCAGCTCTCTTAAACTATGCACATATATACCTAGGTCTCTCTGCTCACAATAGTAGTATTTGCCTTCATTAATAACTTTTGCTCACTTCTCGCCTAACCGCGCCCTGATATGGCTTTGCCACATATATCCTAGTTTACCACCTGTGAAATGTTGAATGCTTTTGTAGGAAATCACGGGCAGAGGCTCCCAGCATGACCAACACCGGGACCATCCCAGGCACCTGCAAGATCTACCAGAGGAAGAGCAGGCGGCGCATGACTTGCCCTAACCCCAGGGAAATCAATCAGGCCATAGCCTCCCTCACCTTGGGAGAACTGAACCGGTCCTGCACTTTGGAGGAGCTGATTGAGAAGTGCCTTCGCTCTTTTGGTAATTTATCTCTGGGCAGGGCTGGACTGGGGTGGTGGTGGTAGAAGCCAAGGGATTGGGGCCCTTTGGGAATCAAGACTTGGGTATCATGACTTGTTTTCAAATCAACCTGGGAATAATCCAGGTACTGAATAGGGAAAGCTTTGTTAAGTACCACCTTCCCTTTAAAACTGTGATAGGCAACTTGGGGGCCCCAGATGTTGCAATTCTCCAACTCATCAGACACAAATAGAAGATCCAATGGTCAAAGATAACAGGAGCAGAAGTACAACAATGACTGAATAGCACATGTTCCCTAAATGTCCTTAATATTAATATCTGGCCATCTTACGATTCCTTCTCTATTCCACCTGTTAACTTTGAGCCAGTGTGGTATATAAGGTGAAGGGGAAAGCAAAATTAGCTTATCTGCTTTGAACTAGGTTATCTGAGTCCACACTCAGATAATGTGAGATTTTCTGCCTTGATATTCTGGGATATGTGGAAGGGCCCAGAGAGAGGTAATAACAAATCTCTTCTAAATAATTATTCCCAAGAAAACACTAGGATAAAGTTGCCATAAGTCATAATCAGCTTGATAAGATGTAACAACAACACTCAGCTTATTGTTTCTTTTAACCAGAATATTCTCTCTGACAAAACAGTCAGAGAAATACTGCTGACCATTAGGAAAATAAGCAATGGATTTGGATTTACTTTGACTGTACTTTCCATGACAAATTATAATGGTCCTGTGATATTCAATTAGACCAAAGTTATTGTCTTTTAAAATGGGATAAGGGGAGAAAGAGATCCACTTGGCTTGGTGGTATTTATACGTTTACTAGCCGTCCCCTGCCAGGCGTTGCTGTGGCCCAGTCTGGTGATCTGGAAAATAAAGTAATGAGAAAGTGTTGGTTTCTAACACATGTAATTTCTTTATGCTTGTGGGTAAACAGTATTTGATTACGTTTTATTGCCCTGGTGAAAGGAGTTGGGCTGGATGGCTTTAAGTATTCTCTATTGGTCATAGGGGTTCTGTGTGGGAAGTTTGCCCCAATTCTATCGTTTGTGGGGTTTAGACTCTGCTTTGATTGTAGGGGAACTATAAATCCCAGCAACTACAACCCCAAAATGTCAAGTTCTATTTTCCCCAAACTCCATTTGTGTTCATATTTGGGCATATGGAGTATTCATGCCAGGTTTGGTCCAGATCCATCATGGAGTCCACAGTGCTCTCTGGATGTAGGTGAACTACAACTCCAAAACTCAAGGTCAACGCCCACCAAGCCCTTCTGGTGTTTTCTGTTGGTCATGGGAGTCCTGTGTGCCACGTTTGGTTCAATTTCATAATTGGTGGAGTTCAAATTGCAATTTGATTGTAGTTTTACTATAAATCCCAGGAACTACAACTCCCAAATGACAAAATCATTTTTTTGAGTGATGATCACTTCTTGGGTTAGTAGGTGTCTTGTGGCCAAATTTGGCGGCAATTTGTCCAGTGGTTTTTGCGTTATGTAATCCCATAAACGAACATTACATTTTTATTTATATAGACTAGCTGTCCCCTGCCACGTGTTGCTGTGGCCCACTGTATATATGTTTTGTGTGTGTATGTATATGTGTATATATCTATATCTATCTAGCTATCTAGCTATCTATATATGCAAACACACATATATACACATATACACAAATATATACACAGATAGATAGATAGATAGATAGATATAGATGTATATGTATGTGTGTGTATATGTGTGTGTATATTTGTGTATTTCTGTGTTTATATGTGTATATGTATATTGTGTATATGTGTGTGCTTGTGTATAGATGTGTATGTATGACTATATGTATATGTGTGTATGTATGCATGTGTATATGTAAATATATGTGTATGTGTGCATGTCTATATGCATGTGTATATTTGTGTATGCTTGTGTACATATATGTGTGTGTCTGTATGTATGTGTGTATGTGTATATGTATATATAGTTTATTTTGGGGGGTTTTAAGTCCGTTCTGCTGGGCTTTTTGTGTGTGTTTTAGGGGTGATAGACACTCATTGGCCTGATAGGTGTATTGTGTCCAAGTTTGGTGTCAAATTGTCCAGTGGTTTTGGAGTTCTGTTAATCCCACAAACGAACATTACATTTTTATTTATATAGATTTCAAAGGTAGCCTGGGGTCATCTAGTCCAATTCAGTGCCAGTAGAGAAATCTATAGCTAGTCTCCTTGACAGATTCTCACCTTTAGTGACACATCTTCAACAAAGGAGAGTTTCCACCATCCAAGGCAGTGTGGTCTGCTGTCAAATAGCTCTTACTGTCAGGAGGTTCTTCCTAAGATTTAACCAGAACTGACTTTCTCATAATTTGAATCCACTGGTGCAGACTCCAGAGCAGAAACCCTTCTTCTTTCCACTTTCTACTTTTGACAGGCCTTCTCCATTTCCACTTTGCAGTCCAGTTCTACTTCCCCTTTGCTTGCAAATAAAATCAGCTTAACTCTTTCCCTCCTCCTCTAGATTTGGATGGGAACCTCTGCACCAGCGACTTCACGGTGAACATGACATTGACAGTCCACAGTTGGGTGGTCCCGTCTGCAGAGCTCGCACGGCACCTCCTGAAGTTATATCCTTTTGGAGCGGGTAACTCTGGATTGCTTTGGGGGCAACGCCTCATTTAGTGCTGTGGGCCATGGCGTTTGAATCTGAGATCTTTGAATCTGAGATCTTAACTTTGTACCCAGCTACAAACCCAAAGCATGTATGGGACAGAAAAAGTGGCATCAAACTGCTATAATTCTGCATTTTCCTTTCTGAGAAAGAAAGAGGAAAGGATCAGATTGCATTGGAGAATTCCAAGATTTGCATAACTTACTTACTTAGGCGATCCCTCGTTGGACGAGTAGGATAGTCTTCCAGGATCTGTATTCTTGTGGATCCGTAGGTGGGTGTGGAGCCCTATTTTTGACCTGCATCTTCTCCCGCAGTGAGGGCATTGGTTTCCAGGTGGAAGGCGCTCTCGGTCGGGGTTGGCTTGACGCGCCTTCCTCTTGGCACGTTTCTCTCTTTCACCCTCCATTCGTGCCTCTTCAAATTCTGCAGCACTGCTGGTCACAGCTGACCTCCAGCTGGAGCGCTCAAGGGCTTCCCAGTTCTCAGTGTCTATGCCAGAGTTTTTAAGGTTGGCTTTGAGCCCATCTTTCAATCTCTTTTCCTGCCCACAACATTCCGTTTTCCGTTCTTGAGTTCAGAGTAGAGCAACTGCTTTGGGAGATGGTGGTCGGGCATCCGGACAACGTGGCCGGTCCAGCGGAGTTGATGGCGGAGGACCATCACTTCAATGCTGGTGGTCTTTGCTTCTTCCAGCACGCTGACATTTGTCCGCCTGCCTTCCCAAGAGATTTGCAGGATTTTCCGGAGGCAGCGCTGATGGAATCGTTCCAGAAGTTGCATGTGACTTCTGTAGACAGTCCACGTTTCGCAGGCATATAAGCATTTGCATAACTGGGATAGTCCTTTAAAAAGAAGGATTCAGGGACAAAATTCCATTAAAAAATTAGTGTCAGCTTTATTTAGTAAGACAGTAACCATAGAATGTTGACACTCTGTTGGGATGGAGTAATGGAATAATGTAGCCTTCCAAGTGTTGCTGGACTGCAAACCCCAGCAACACCAGTCAGCGTAATCAATAATGAGGAAGCATCAAAACATCTGGAGGGCCACTTGATTCCCAGCTCTGATATAGAGTTTAATTACTAGTAACATTTGAAGGAGGAAAGGAGATTATTTAGAGCAGTTACTAGTAACTCTTGGCGGAGGAGAGGAAAAGAGATAGCAATAAGAATGTGGGTTGTTTGCTTTACTCAACAATTTGAAAGATCTCTTAACTCAACTTGCTACATACCAAAAAGCATCCAAGGAGAAGCTGCAGGCACGCCAGCTGAGGATCTGCCACTTCATCCGGTCAGAATTATTTCACCATAATTCCCTTTTTCTCCCAACCTTTTCTGGAAAGAGGCAGGGGTGGGCAAAGTGCAGCATATGGTATGTAGGTTGGGTATGTTTTTGAGCCCCTTCCCCAAGATTAGCACCGGGACTGTGGCGCAGCTGGCTGGGAGTCAGCTGCATTAAGATCACTACTGACCAAAAGGTCAAGAGTTCGAAGCCAGCCCGGGTCGGAGTGAGCTTCCGACCAATTTGTGTAGCTTGCTGTCGACCTTTGCAGCCCGAAAGACAGTAGGAAATTTAGGTACAGTAGGTACAGCTTATGCGGGGAGGCTAATTTATGATGCCATAAAAATTTCCAGCAAGCATGCAAAGAATGAGGAAGTATTTCTTCAGTGTCACAAATGGATGACACAGCTCCCCTGGTGGCCAGAATACCCTCATTAAAAAACTGGAATGTTAAATAGCCTCTGTGGGTCTGTCTATATATGTTGTGTGTCTATGGCATTGGATGTTTGCCATGTATATGTATAAGTCCCCTGCAGGGTGAGAAGGACGGAATATAAATATTTATTTATTTATGACATTTATATGCGGCCCTTCTCACCCCGAAAGGGGACTCAGAGCAGCTTACAAGATACATATACATACAATATATTATATTATTCGCATACTACAATATCAGTATTATATAGTACTACCATGTACTATGCCATTATATTGTAATATTATTTTTGACGTGTCAGGAGTGACTTGAGAAACTGCAAGTCGCTTCTGGTGTGAGAGAATTGGCCGTCTGCAAGGATGTTTGCCCAGGGGATGCCCGCATGATTTGATGTTTTTATCATCCTTGTGGGAGGATTCTCTCATGTCCCCATATGAGGAGCTGGAGCTGATAGAGGGAGCTCATCTGCCTCTCCCCGGATTCGAACCTGCGACCTGTCGGTCTTCAGTCCTGCCAGCACAGGGGTTTAACCCACTGCGCCAGTGGGGGCTCTATTATTATTATTAATATTACATGTAATATAAAATATATAATTATAATATTGTATTATTATTAGTAGTATATTGTATTACATTATGATATTATAAATATTATATGTATATACAATATATTATATTATTAGTAAAGCACAGGAGACAAGATGGAACTGTCTTCTCTTCACTCTGGACCAGAGTGGAAATAAAATATATAAATACTGTAAAATAAATAATTGTTCATTTTCAGGTATGTAAAGGATGCAAAGGGGAATGTTCTGTCCATCCCATCACATTCAAATACATGCCTGTTGGGAATACAAAAGGTCTTCTATGTTTCTGAGTGCAGATGGAAAAGTGGGGTGGCAGAGGAAGATCAGGATTGTCCCTACCAAGTTGTGACAGTCGTCATGAGCTCAGGCTTAATCTCTGTCTCTGGCTTCAGGTATTGGCTCATTAAATATCCCGAGGCCTTCCATCTGGATCCGCATTTAGAAGAGGCTATTGCTGAGATTTTGGAAGTGGTGAAGAAAGAAGGCCATAAGGAATGCTGCAATCTGCTTGACACATCCACCGTGTGAGTCTGATTTCTTTTTGGTTCACAAAATACTGACCTAGGGAATATTTGTTTTGGATCACTTTCCTCCTCTGGATGCTAGAAGTTCATTCTAGACATTGATTTTATTCCCCTCCCATAAATCTTCCAGGTTGTAATCCTAAAATGGGGTGATGAAGGAGGAGAAAGACCTTCATTAAAGCCTTTGCAGAACTGTTTTCAAGGTGGGAGAAGGCTCCACATGGGGAAGCAGGTTAATTTTTGCCTGCCTGCAACTATTTGCAAATTACCGTATTTTCTGGCTTATAAGACAACTGGGCATACAAGACGACCCCCGACTTTTCCAGTTAAAATATAGAGTTTGGGATATACTCGCCGTATAAGGTTACCCCCTCTTCCAAAGTAAACCAAATAAAAATTTAAAAAACACCAGATTTGATTTCAGTATGGTAATTTTCCTATTACCATCCTTCCTTCTTTGCCTCTCAGATCTTGCACGTGCGCCCCTGCAGTCTTCAGGAGCGAGATCTGAGAGGCAGAGAAGGTGGTATGGTAATAGGATACAAGGGTGGACCAGATGGGTGAAAGAGGTGTGTTTTTCGGGGCACAGTGCTGCTCTATCTCTTTTTTCCATATCCCTCCTTCCTTCTCCCTTCCTCCTTCCTTCTCTCTCCCTCTATCCTTCTCCCTTCCTTCCTTCTCTCTCCTTCCTTCTCTCCCTTCCTTCTTCCTTCTCTCTCTCCCCTTCCTTCTATCTCCCTCCTTCCTTCTCCCTTCCTCCTACCTTCTCTCTCCTTCCTTCTCTCCCTTCCTCCTTCCTTCTCTCTTTCTCCTTCCTTCTCTCCCTTCCTTCTCTTTCTCTCCCTCCTTCCTTCTCCCTTCCCCCCTCTCTCTCCTTTCTTCTCTCTCTCTCCTTCCTTCTCTCTTTCTCCTTCCTTCTCTCCCTTCCTTCTCTTTCTCTCCCTCCTTCCTTCTCCCTTCCCCCTCTCTCTCCTTCCTTCTCTCCCTTCCTCCTTCCTTCTCTCTCTCTTCTTCCTTCTCTTCTCTCCCTTCTTCCTTCTCCTTCCCTCCTCCTTCTCTCTCCTTCCTTCTCTCCTTTCCTCCTTCCTTCTCTCTTTCTCCTTCCTTCTCTCCCCTCTCTTTCTCTCCTCCTTCTCTCCCTTCCCCTCCTCTTCTCCTTCCTTCTCTCCCTTCTCTTCCTTCTCCTCTTCTCTCTTCTCCTTCTCTCTTCCCTTCTTCTCTCCTCTCTTCTCTTTTCTCTCCCTCCTTCCTTCTCCCTTCCCCCCTCTCTCTCCTTCCTTCTCTCCCTTCCTCCTTCTCTCTCTCCTTCCTTCTCTCTCCCTCCCTCCTTCTCCCTTCCTCCTTCCTTCTCTCCCTCTCCTTTTCTCCCTTCCTCCTTCTCTCTCTCTCTCACCTTTCTTCTCTCCCTTCCTCCTTCCTCCTTCCTTCTCTCTCTCTCCTTCCCCCCTCCTCCTTCTTTCTCTCTCTCACACCTTTCTTCTCTCCCTTCCTCCTTCCTTCCAATACAGTTATAATCCTTCCAAAATAAAAATAAACACCAATACAGTTATAATCTTATCATTTACAATCAACTTCTGTACCTTCTTCCTCCTTCTTCCTCTCCTCCTTCCTCCTCTCCTCCTTCCTTCTCTCCTCTCCTTCTCTCCCTTCTTCCTTCTTTCTCTCTCTCCACCTTTCTCTCCTCCCTTTCCTCCTTCCCTTTCTCTCTCCCTCTCCTTCCTCCTCTTCCTCCTTCCTTCTCTCTCTCTCCTTTTCTCCCTTCCTCCTTCTCTCTCTCTCTCTCTCGCCTTTCTTCTCTCTCTCTCCTTCCTTCTCCCTTCCTCCTTCCAGCTGTCAGGAATTGTGGGAGTTGAAATCCAAAACACCTGGAGGGCCCAAGTTTACCCATGCCTCTTCTAGAGCTAGTTATTTTTTACTCCCCAGTTTTTCTGTGTTTCGTTTACTAAATGTGAAAGAATGTGGGGCTGTGTAGCTCTAATTCTTCTCTAAATTGTAAAACACTATTTCTCATCGGTTGAAGGTCTTAATTCTTGATTTATCCTGTTTTCTTTGAATCCTCTTTTATACCAGAGCCATAAATGGAATCTGTCTGTTGGTTGTTTAGTGTCTCCACATACCCATACCCCATGTACACTGCTAACACATCTACCATGTTTCCCATGAACCTTCTGGCAGACAAAGGTTCTAATGTGCATGCAAAGGGATTTTCAACTCCAGCACGTGTCCTAGCTTTCTAATTCTTTCTCTCCAGAGTAACCCAGACGTGGGACCATTCTCTCAGTTGCCAAAGCAGCCCCGGTTGTGGCAAGAAGCGGAAAGTTTCGCTGCTTTTTGACCACCTTGATGCAGATGAGCTAGCCAGCCATCTCAGCTACCTGGAATTCAAGGCCTTCTGCCACCTCTCGGTATGAACTGCCCAAACCTCAGGCTCATATGTACATGTATTCACCTTGTTTTTAAAGTATATTGTTCTAGCCGTCCCCTGCCATGCGTTTCTGTGGCCCAGTCTGGTGATCTGGAAAATACAGTAACGAGAACGTGTTGGTTTCTAATATATGTAATGTCTTTCTGCTTGTGGGTAAACAGTATTTCTTGCTGTTTCTTTGTCAGTGTTGATGTGGAGATTGTCTGGTTTGCCTACTCTGGAACATGCAACATATCATTGTCCTTCTATAAGGGCCCCTTTCAAATCTATGATACTATATCTCTCTCTGTGTGTGAATCATATCATATCTATCTATATCTATGGCTGGATGGCTCTTTGTCAGGAGGGCTTTGATTACATTTTCTTGCACTGATGAAGGGAGTTGGACTGGATGGCCTTAAGTATTTTCTAGGTTCTTGTAGTTTTTTTCGGGCTATAGGGCCATGTTCTAGAGGCATTTCTCCTGACGTTTCGCCTGCATCTATGGCAAGCATCCTCAGAGGTAGTGAGGTCTGTTGGAAATAGGAAAATGGGTTTATATATCTGTGGAATGACTGGGGTGGGGCAAAGAGCTCTCTGCTGAAGCTAGGTGTGAATGTTTCAGCTGACCACCTTCATTAGCATTTGAAGGCCTGGCTGAGCCTGGGAAAATGTTCTGTTGAGAGGTGTTAAGATGGCCTTAAGTATTTTCTGTTGGTCATGGGGGTTCTGTATGGGAAGTCTGCCCCAATTCTGTCGTTCGTAGGATTCAGAATGCTCTTTGATTGTAGGTGAACTGTGAATCCCAGTGACTACAACTCCCAAATGTCAAGGTCTATTTCCCCCAAACTCCATCTGTGTTCATATTTGGGCATATTGAGTGCTTGTGCCAAGTTTGGTCCAGATCCATCATTGTTTGAGTCCACAGTGCTCTCTGGATGTAGGTGAACTGCAACTCCCAAACTCAAGGTCAATGCCCACCAAACCCTCCCGGTGTTTTCTGTTGGTCGTGGGGGTTCTGTATACCATGTTTGGTTCAATTCCATCTTTTGTGTGGTTCAGAATGCTCTTTGATTGTAGGTGAACTATAAATCCCAGTAACTACAACTCCCAAATGAAAAACTCATTTTTTGAGTGATGGTCACTCCTTGGGTTAGTAGGTGTCTTGTGTCCAAATTTGGCGGCAATTCGTCCAGTGGATTTTGAGTTATGATGTCACTAAAAAAAGAAAGAAAAATCTAGCCATCTACTTGGAATGGACAAAGATGTGTGAAAGCATTTAGAGTGGCCTGATCCAGTAGAACATTATTTTTATTATATTATTCTTATATTGGTCAGTACCTGGACTTCCGGAATTACGTACTTTGTGGGTCAGTGCGGGGCAGTCCAGCGCTAGAGCGTGCCATCACCTTATGCAACAGCATCTCTCAGTGGGTGATGGTCATGGTCCTCAACAGGCCCACACCCCAACAGCGAGCCGAAGTCTTCACCAAGTTCATCCGTGTTACGCAGGTAAGGTTGCCAAGTGCAGCAAACACATTTCCTGGAAGAGAAAAGTAAAGTAGTGGATGGAGGTGGGAACTCAGTCAACCAGGATCTCCTGTTTTACCCCTTTCTGTCTTTTCCCCAACTCCATTGTAGAAATTAAGACAATTGCAGAATTTTAGCACCCTGATGGCAATCGTGGGAGGACTCTGCCACAGTGCCATAGCTCGGCTCAAGGACACGCATGCGCTCCTCCCGTCTGAAGTCACAAAGGTAGGGAACTGGTGATTTATGGCTGAGGAGGGAAAGGTTTTAGCCCCTTCAATCTCAATTAGAGTGTTGAAAGGAAAGAAATCAGCCCATCCTAGAAAATGACCCTAAAAAATAACCAAATCCCTGACTCTCGACTTATTCAGGAGTTAAATCAAAATCTGTAATTTTGGCTGCAAAACATGCCCTTCATTTATATTCCAAGTTGACATATACATGAATATATATATTTATTTCTGAAGGTAGTGCTTTTGCACTGAGATTCATCCCCTTCACACTAAGGACTGGAGAAGAGGTCCAGGCTCTGAGACCTGCTAACTCTATGGCCCCTTCTACATTGCCATATAATCCAGATTATCAGAGGAGATCCATATCTGTTTTTGTTGTGGATTCCAATAGAAGCCTATTAGCAGTGCATGACTCAGCTATATTACATTACAATACATTGTAAAACCTGACACCCCTCCTCATGCACTGACAAAACACAGACAATCTATCTTAAAGAGATTACTCCTGGACTTGCAGCAGAGACCACTGAAGACCATAATGGCAGAGACGGCTTTCTGGTTCTGGGCCCATAACCTGTTGAGATTAATTTCACAATTCAGCAGCAGATCAGTTGCACGACTTCAGCGCTTTCCAGTAGCTTCTTCCTGCACAGTATTTTCAGTCAACTGCTCCCACAAACTGCAGTCACTCTGGAACTCTTTTACAGACACTTGAGCACATGCCTGGCCATTGTCAGTTTTACTATTGTTTTCCCCTCCAATCTAGATGACACTACAAACTTACCACAGCACACGGTTATATCTTGTCTTAGCAGACTGGATCTTTTAATCAATTACATAGAGCCTTCGACGAACAGCATCACAGCACAAGGAGGGAGTATACACTCTACATGACTTCCTTATATACAATTCTATACAATCACACATAGCGATCTCTGATTGACTCTCAACTCATTAACCTAACTCAGACCCAGGATTACATCATTCACAATCACCTGGATTAGGCCAGAACACATTCCCCAAATGAAGTTCTATATACAGTTAATGCATGACTCAGCATTTCCAATAGAAGCCTATTAGCAGTGCATGACTCAGCTATATTACATTACAATACATTGTAAAACCTGACAGTTTTGAACTAGATTATGAGTCTAAACTGCCATGTAATTCAGTTCTGGATTTTATATGGCATTGTAGAAGGGGCCTATATCTGAGGAACGAGGTGAAATCCATCCATGTCTTCATATACCAACCATACTCTCTTCTCAGATAAGGCTTGCTTCTCTTTTCCTTGCACAGGCACTCTCCGAAATGACAGAATTGCTTTCGTCGAGTGGAAATTACGGGTCGTATCGACGGGCATATGCCGATTGCTCCGGCTTCAAGATTCCCATTGTGGGCGTCCACCTCAAGGACCTGGTCATGTTGCACGAAGCCATGCCGGATCGCGTGGAAGGTGGACAACTCAACCTTAGCAAGTTGCAGAGCCTGTTTGAGCCGGCGTGGGAACTCAGGATGCTCCAGCAAAGCCAGCCGCCATTCCAAGCCAATAAGGATCTGCTCCGCCTGCTCACTGTGAGAGACATTCTTTGATGGAAACGGAGAAGGGGACCACAAGGGTGGGATTGGGGGTGCATGCTCTACAACAGGCATGGGCAGACTTTGGCCCTCCATGTGTTTTGGACTTCAACTTCCACGGGCTATTAGAAATTGTGGAAGTCCAAAATACTTGGAGGGCCAAAATTTGCCCATGCCTGCTCTAGAAGAAGAGTGCTCATCTATGCAATGCCCTGAATTGTGGATGTAGCAACTGGGATGGGCAAACATCAGTGGGTCAGTGTTGACTATGCGAAATCCTTAGCAGACATCTCTTATCAAGCTCATGTTTTGGGGGACCCTTCCACTGCACTATTATAACTCCATGATACCCTTAAATCCTATGGAATCCCAGTTTTCACAAGGGATTTAGAATTATGTTGTCAAAGGCTTTTATGGCCAGAATCACTGGGTTGCTGTGAGTTTTCTGGGCTTTATGGCCATGTTCCAGAAGCATTCTCTTCTGACGTTTCACACACATCTATGGCAGGCATTCTCAGCTGTTGTGAGGTCTGTTGGAAACTAGGCAAGTGAGCAAATACTTTTTTGGGTTTCGGGATTTTGAAAATTGTGATATGCATTACATTCAATGGCACAGTATTTATTTATCGTGTCATCAGCAACCATACCACTGTATTACATTTCTAACAGAAGAAAACAAACAAACAGATTTAAAAAACCCACAAATTTTGCAAGCTTGGTAGTTGATTAAATGTCCTTTGACCAGTATCTGGCCACTTGGAGTGCCTCTGGTGTTGCCGCAAGAAGGTCCTCCCTTGTGCATGTGGCAGGGCTCAGGTTGCATTGCAGCAGGTGGTCTGTGGTTTGCTCTTCTCCACACTCGCATGTCGTGGATTCCACTTTGTGGCCCCATTTCTTAAAGTTGGCTCTGCATCTCGTGGTGCCAGAGCGCAGTCTGTTCAGCGCCTTCCAAGTCGCCCAGTCTTCTGTGTGCCCAGGGTGGAGTCTCTCATCTATCACTCACAGACTGAGGTTCTGGGTTTGAGCCTGCCACTTTTGGACTCTCGCTTGCTGAGGTGTTCCATCGAGTGTCTCTGTAGATCTAAGAAAACTATTTCTTGATTTAAGTCGTTGACGTGCTGGCTGATACCCAAACAGGGGATGAGCTGGAGATGTCACTGCCTTGGTCCTTTCAGTATTGGCTGCTACTTCCCGGCGGATGTCAGGTGGTGCAATACCGGCTAAGCAGTGTAATTTCTCCAGTGGTGTAGGGCGCAGACACCCTGTGATAATGTGGCATGTCTCATTAAGAGCCACATCCACTGTTTTAGCATGGTGAGATGTGTTCCACACTGGGCATGCATACTCAGCAGCAGAGTAGCATAGCACAAGGGCAGATGTCTTCACTGTGTCTGGTTGTGATCCCCAGGTTGTGCCAGTCAGCTTTCGTATGATATTGTTTCTAGCGCCCACTTTTTGCTTGATGTTCAGGCAGTGCTTCTTGTAGGTCAGAGCACGGTCCAGAGTGACTCCTCCCAGGTATTGGGTGCGCTGCAATGCTCCAGTGGGATTCCTTCCCAGGTAATCCTCAGAGCTCGGGATGCTTGTCTGTTCTTAATGAAAAGCACATGTCTGTGTTTTAGATGGATTAGGGATCAGCTGGTTTTCCCTGTAGTAGGCAGTAAGAGCACCTAGAGTTTCAGAGAGCTTCTGTTCAACCATCTCAAAGCTCCCTGCAACCAGAATGGCACAGTAGACTCGAGTGGCACTTATTGGGTTGCTGTGAGTTTTCCGGGCTGTATGGTCATGTTCCAGAAGCATTCTCTCCTGACATTTCATGCACATCTATGGCAGGCATCCTCAGATGTTGTGAGATCTTTTGGAAACTAGGCAAGTGAGGTTTATATATCTGTGGAATGCCCAAGGTGGGAGAAGGAACTCTTGTCTGTTGGAGGCAAGTGGGAATGGTGCAATTGCCCAGCTTGATTAGCACTGAAAAGCCTAGCAGTTTCAAGGCTTGGCTGTTTCCTGCCTAGGGGAACCCTTTATTGGGAGGTGTTAGCTGGTTCTGATTGATACCTGTCTGGAATTCTTTTGTTTTTTGAGTGGCCAGTTACAACTGTTGGGTTTCATCCCTGACCGCACAAGTCTCCAGCCCTCAATGAGTAATTAACCTAGATAGATTAGAATGAAGGATTCTTTCCCCAAATTCCTTTTGCATGGCCAAGAATGATATGACGTTCACCCCAAGCTAGGCTGGGACAGTGTTGCTTTGATACAACCGCACCGAGAAAGGCCAGAAACTAGGAAATTGCATAATTTAGGATGCGAAATAGCAGGCTGGTGTGTGTGAGGATCGGCAACCCCAGCTGTTGTGTGTGAAAACGGAGCCGCAACCACAGCATTGTGAAGCAACTCATAGGCAGAGTACCCGGCCTAGCAGTGAGCCTGCAAGTGACTCAGTCAGGAGTCACTTCCATACCTCGACTAAGTGGTCCAAAATCCTAGGTCAAGTGGTCATAGCCATTGCACTTTATGTTCTGTTCTTTGGGTTCCTGCTGT